GGGGGGGGGTGATCCCAGCTCTCTTCCAACCCCTTTTCCTTCTCCTTTTCCGCAGTGGAAGCCGTGGCAGCCCTGGGGAACAAGGTGGTGGAGAGCCTGAGGGCGCAGGACCCCAGCGAAGGTGGGACCTGTGGAGTGACTTCCCGCCTTCCCCGGGGGAGTTTTCCAGCCCCTCCACTCGGAATTCCCGCTTTTTTTTCCGCCTCCCCCACCCAGTGCTGACCATGCTGACCAACGAGACGGGCTTCGAGATCAGCTCTGCCGACGCCACGGTGAAGATCCTCATCACCACTGTCCCGCCCAACCTGCGCAAGCTGGACCCGGAGCTGCACCGTGAGGGCTTCCCACCGGGGATCTGGGGCTGGGAAGGGAGGTTTCCCCGCTCTCCAGGTTGGGAAAAACCCAACCTGGGGGGGATTTGTGTGCTTCTTGCAGTGGACATCAAGGTGCTGCAGAGCGCCCTGGCCGCCATCCGGCACGCGCGGTGGTTCGAGGAGAACGCCTCGCAGTCCACGTGAGTTTCCAGAGGGGGAATCCTGGATCCAGGAGTGGGTTTTTTATGGAGAAGGTGGAGTTGGTGGGGGCAGGGCTGAGCCCCTCCTTCTTCCTGCCCCCAGGGTGAAGGTCCTGATCCGGCTGCTCAAGGATTTGAGGATCCGCTTCCCGGGCTTCGAGCCGCTCACGCCGTGGATCCTGGACCTGCTGGTGGGGGATGTGGATGTGGGGCTGATCCCAATCCCGGCAGGGATTCTGGGATTCTTCCCTCATTCCTCTGCCCTTCCCCGTTCCCAGGGGCACTACGCCGTGATGAACAACCCCACCCGGCAGCCCCTGGCCCTCAACATCGCCTACAGGTCGATCCCAGGGGATAAAATCCCCCTAAAAACCCTCGGGAGACGATCCCAGCTCCTCCAGCTGGGAGTTGCTGTGTTTTTTTTGCTGGAATTCTCCAGTTTTGAACCCCAAAATGTCCCACCGTGCAGGCGGTGCCTCCAGATCCTGGCGGCCGGGCTGTTCCTGCCCGGCTCGGTGGGCATCACAGACCCCTGCGAGAGCGGCAACTTCCGCGTGCACACCGTGATGACGCTGGAGCAGCAGGTCAGGGGGTGTCCCCACGGGGCAGGGGACACTTCTAGGGGGGTCCCTGTGCATGCTCTGACCCCTCCCCACCCCCCCACCTCCCCCAGGACATGGTGTGTTACACGGCCCAGACCCTCGTCCGCATCCTGTCCCACGGGGGCTACCGGAAAATCCTGGGGCAGGAGGGAGACGCCAGCTGTGAGTGGGGAGTGGGGCTGGGGTCGTGGGGGTGTCCCCATGGGAATGGGGCTGGAATCGTGGGGGTGTCCCCAAGGGAATGGGGCTGGAATTGTGGGGGTGTCTCTGTGGGAATGGGGCTGGAATCCCAGGGGTATCCAGGGGAAATTGGGGCTGGAATCCAGGGGGTATCCAGGTGGGAATGGGGCTGGAATCCCAGGGGGTATCCAGGTGGGAAT